TAATAATAATAATAATAATGCATTAAAATAATTTTGTCTACAAGTTCCTTAACTTAGTAGTTAACTCTATGAAAAATATACTTTGATTTCATATATTACCGACAATTGCACATAATAACATAAGATGATCGTGAGAAGTCTGCAGTATTCAATCTTAGCTTTTGTGCAGTAAACATTGTTTTGTATTTATATATGTGTATGAGCGTGAATAATTCATAAATGATAAATTTTAAGCTATTTGAGCTTCTCAGTGTTTCAAACATACCCCTAATATCGCCACGTCTTCCTTATTTGAGTACATTTGTAAAATAGTTAATGATTCGTATACTTTCAAACATTACATTTTTAGTTCCAAATCTTTACAAGATGGACACTGTATAAATATTTGGAAGCAATAAAATTAGATCTACACAAACTTAATACGCTTTGTATGAAATACATGAATAACCACGAAATAATTTCAACATGTTTTGATTTATTTTGCTACTGTGTTTTAATATAAAATCAAAGTTTTCATACATATAGCTAAATGAAGCGAAATGCATTCATTAACAAAAAAAATTGTGAAACGGCGAAGCAGCTGTTTTATTTTATTCAAGATGTCACACCCTTCGCGTATTTCCATTAGAATGTACGATAAAAAGGCGTGAAATCTATACATACCCACTCATTTTTATATGTCCCCCGATGGGACAGCGGTAAGTCTGCGGATTTACAACGCTAAAATCAGGGGTTCGATTCTTCTCGGTGGACACAGCGGATAGCCCGATGTGGCTTTGCTATAAGAAAACACATATAAACAGACATTAGAATTTCCCCCCAGTGGCACGGCGGTATGTCTGTGGACTTACAAGGCTAGAAACCGAGTTTCGATACCCGTGGTGGGCAGAGTACAGATAGTCCTTGTGTAGTTTTGTGCATAATCAAAAACAAACAAACATTTTTATTATTATTGTCTTTTCTAGTTAGTCTGAAATATCGATACATTTTTCTCGAAATAATTTCAAGTATGATCGTTTCTAAATAAATTGAATTGAGTCGATTGTTGGTATATATATATATATACAGTAGTAATAACCTACTGAAATAAAAACTGAGTCATCCTCAGTACACTTTTAATGAAACAAAATAAAGTTGATTAATGTACGATTATATTATTTAACTTTGTTGGATTTCTCGAGAATTGTTTGTTTGTTTGTTTTGAATTTCGCGCAAAGCTACACGAGGGCTATATGCGTTAGCCGTCTCTAATTTAGTAGTGTAACACTAGAGGGAAGGCAGCTAGTCACCACCCACCGCCAACTCTTGGGCTACTCTTTTAATAACGAATAGTGAGAGTGACCGTCACGTTATAATGCCCCCACGGCTGAAAGGACGAGCATGTTTGGTGAGACGGGGATTCGAACCCGCGACCCTCAGATTGCGAGTCGAGCACCCTAACCACCTGGCCATGCCGGGCCCGGATTTCTCGAGAAAGAAATTATTCTATTTGAATACTCTCTACGTCTTGTCACTCGAGTAACTTCAACGGTATACTTTTAACTATTTAGAATTACGAATCTATTCTTACTGACTTAATTTAAGTTTCATTTTTTAACTAGCTGATATTTTCATAGAAAAATAAAACCTGAAGTTTTTTTTTGAATTATAATATATGATCGTTTTTCTCAGCCATCTTATGTAACATTATATATAAGCCGTGAAATACATTAAAGGTTGTTTCAGTACAATATTGATATGTTAACAAGAAAAGGTTAAATGTACAAAAACATAAATATCTGTCTATGAATGACAAGTAATAATTTACTGGCTTAAAGAGAGGGAATACGTTTTTCTGTTCTAATATGGCAACAAATGTGTAAAGTTTTGAACAAGTCTTAAAATCATACATAAATGATTCCCCATACATGAATGAATCCCCATACATAAACACTACATCACTTTTGGAAGCTTTCAGATCTTATCAGTATTTCTAAGGAAAACACACTCTCTCTCTATATATATAAATATATACTCATACATAAACATAAGTCTGAAAAGCTATAGAACCACTCCACTTCTCTTGAACCACTTGGTTAGATTAAAACACTTTTGGAAGCTTTCAGGTCTTATCAGTATTTCTAAGGAAAACACACTCTCTCTCTCATATATATATATAAATATATACTCATACATAAACATAAGTCTGAAAAGCTATAGAACCACTCCACTTCTCTCGAACCACTTGGTTAGACTAAACCACTTTTGGAAGCTTTCAGGTCTTATCAGTATTTCTAATAAAAACACACACTCTCTCTTTCTATATATAAATATATACTCATACATAAACACAAGTCTGAAAAGCTATAGAATAACTCTGCTTCTCTCGAGTCACTTGATTAGACTACACCACCTTTGGAAAACAAAACAATGTATTGTTACTAGTGCTTGAGATTTTGGAGTGTTTTTACATCTGTTATGGAGAAGACATGAAAATAACAAAAAATACCTAGAAACCCACAAATTTACATCGCGAATTCCAATAGTCTGTCTGTCTGTTTATAGTACAATGGGCTATCTGAGCTGTGCCCACCACAGGTATCGAAACCCGGTCTCTAGCGTTATAATTCCGCAGACTTACCTCTGTGCCACTGGGGCATCTATCTATCAACGATATAACTTTACGATTTCTTACACAACTACAGCTTCAGTTATTTTCTCATTGGATTTGAATTGTTCTTAAATTACAACAGTTTTAGTTTCATTAAATGTATGCACGGAATGCAATTATATAAAAATAGAAAAAAAAAACGCATTAATACTATAGGACTGATATTACAATATCTCTACCATTTTATTTATGCAAAGTTGCTTAACGTTCCTTCTAGATGGAATTTAGAAAATAGAAAAAGTGCTAAATACATCTGCCCCCCCCCACAGTGACACAGCGGCATGTCTGCGGAATTATAACGCTAGAATCCGGGTTTCGATACCAGTGGTGGGCAGAGCCCAGATAGCCCATTGTGTAGCTTTGTGCTTAATTAAAAACAAACTAAATATACCCACTTCCAGTCAACCTTTTAATTTATAAATCAATTAAAACGAAATATTAAAGATATCTGCTGATTAAATACAGCCATTCAATTTCCATATCACCAGGATTACGTAATGTTCGTGTCTTCAATATTTGAATTAATCATTTCGTTGACTGAGCCTAGTTAATACGATTATCAATATACATAATATCAGCAGGATTATCTATGGAGTTCAGTGGATTGGTTTATGGGAAATGAAATGCATTATTGTAGCAAAAGACGAGTATGCAGCATATTATTAAATATTTCTAATGAACGCGAACAACCTGAAGTAAGGATAGATAGTTGATGGGTAGAAATCTCGATTCCTGATGAAGTAAGTAAATGCACACATTTCATTATTCACTGCCGAAATATATTTTTCAGTTGATTAGATAAAAGTTTTATGTTAATCCTGATATTTCAACTTAATTAACTATATTTCACAATCCTTTTCTTATACGTTTCTTCATAACAATAACTGGGTCGTTCATACACTACATAATCCAATAATAATGAAGCGCAGATCCCGTTTTATCTACGAGGAGCAGTAGTTTCAACTATCAAAACTTTTTACTGCTGTAATTAACTCCTACCAATTGAATGAATCACTAACGTGATTTGTTCCTCCACTGCTCAGGAATGTTTTAGATTTTATTTTATTTGTCTATATAAATATAATAGTACTGTCTCTTTTCTGTTGTATGTCCATGTAACTACTTCGCCCCCTTTGAATGGATCTTCAAGAAATTTGGTTCATTGGATCCATGGGGAGATACATACAAATTGCCTGTTTTACATTTTGCGGTTTGCGATTCTTATGGGCGTTTTTGTGATTTTTACTACTACTTTGGATCTCCACCAAATTTTCCGTGAAAGTTTGTGGGGTCCATGCGGAGGTATAAGCAAATTTGCGGTTTCAAGTTTAGTGTTTTGTGGTTTTTTTGGGCGTTTTTGCATTTTTTACCATTCCATATAAGGGAAGCAACTTTTAATGTCCTAAGATAACCTTTCGTTAATCATGAATTTATATAACTTTCGTCCAGGGGACGGGTACTCCAGCTAATTAGAAATATTCTATCAGTGTCTTTTGATACATCTATTAAATTAGCAGAATAAACTGACTGGTCATTTCAAAATGCTTTGTCATTCCAAGCGTTAATTTACTTTATGAACACCTCTATTTGAACACATCTCAGTAACCTAAGAGTAAACATTAAATACTGATAATGAATAGTACGCCTGCATCAATGAGTATCAAAATAATACAGAGACAGTACTTGCAATTTCGTGTTTACAAATATACTGGAAAAGAATACGTATTGAATAATGTGTTTCTGTACTGGAAAAATAATTGAATACCTATTAAATGATGTTTTTGTATACTGGAAAAGAATATCTATGTGTTTGGAAAGTTTAACGGAACTAAATCTCTGTGAAAGTGTGATGTATCTTATTTTAATTGTCTCTCAATAGTACTTTGGGTAATTTTCTGTGATGGCTGAAAAACACTGGTTGATATCAAACACAGTGAAAAGGAAGAGATCCAGATCATAGTTACCTGAACACTTTACGGAATTGACCATGATTATTGTAAACACGTACCTGGTCAGCGATGCTAGTGTGTAGTGTTTGTTTTGTTTCATTCTTAATCACTAAATCACTGAAACTATCGGAAAGATCATTCAATAACATGATATTTTTTCTACTAGATGGTGTTTTACTTGTTCATTCATATTTATTTATACATAAAAATATTCTCAAATAAATTTTATAACTTGAATATAGTTTTTAATCACCTATAGAAACAGAGCCGTCAGTATAACACATTAACCACACTGTTTGATATGATAGTGGCTGTTGTAATCCTCCTGTTTTATCTCAAATTATTAGATGGTAACACATTTTGATAGGTGTCTTTCTATCTCTTGGTAGTGATCGTTATGTGTGCCTCTCCTTCATCCATCCGACAAATCTTGTTGGCTGCTGAGGAACTAGGGATGTTAGAAAATGGGGAGTACGTATTCTTCAACGTCGAGCTTTTTACAAGGTAATCTGTTAATATTGTTTCAATGAGACTGCGTAGCAATCAAGCATACTCCTGAAAAACTAAGGAACTTTGATCAAATTTCTCTCGGATTATACCAGAGAAAATATAATTTAGGCTTAAAGATAGTGTTTAAAGTATCAGCAACCTATAGCAATGCATTCTTGTAACCATCTTTAAATTAGTAAATTCTGTATAGGTACACAACCATATACATATGTTATTTGGGATAAATAATATAATAAGGAGTATAATGTAATTCAAATAATGATTTCCGTTTGAAGTTATCGCACTCGGAAATAGTATATGAACATGTATAACAGTTTTTAGCCGCGGTAAAAAGGGGTTCATAGAATGACTCTGACTGTTTTTTTTTTTTCAGATACAATCTTTTAGCTCATAGCTCCATTTCTTGACCGACTTGAGATCTAATTACAGCAGCGGCTACTGAGGATTCCCTCTTGTTTTTCTGCATAATATGCAGTTCTTCTATTAAATTGGTTTGAATTTTAACAAAATATTAGAAATTTCGATAAAAGTTCACGTAGCTACTAGAAATTTAGATACCTGTATCGTTTTTGCTGCTAGCATTGAAGACATTTACCTATTGATTTGCTTTTTTTTTCTTTGTAGAATGATTTTAAAATATAATATGGAAAAAAGTCATTAAGCAAAGAGATACACTAAACAAAACTCATGCTTTTATCTAAACATGTTCTTTTCTGAAATATGCACTAAAATATCGATAGATGGAATTCATCTTTATTGTTACCTCCGCCATCGAAGGTGGACGGAGGTTATGTTTTCACTTCTCTCTCTATGTTTGTTTGTGTGTGTTTGTCAGCAAGATTTCTCGAAAACGGCTGAATTGATTTAAACAAAAGTTGATATACTTCTATGATGGGTCGATGCCAAAGGTCAAGATTACAGCAAGGTGACAAATAGCCAAAAAATCCTTATCTGTTAATATAGGGACCGAATTTTCACATTGATATACTTCTATGTTGGGTCGAGGCCAAAGGTCAAGGTTACAGCAAGGTCACAAATAGCCAAAAAATCCTTATTTATTAACATAGGGACCGAATTTTCACACTATTTTTGCTCTATAACTCAATTAAAAATGATCGGATTTTGATAAAACTTGGTGGACATATGTAGAATATTATTCCTCATTGTTCTGCCAAAAAGTGGTCCGTTGATAACGACGGGCATACAAACACATTTTCGTATTTTTTGAGAGCCGAATATGATCAACGCTGCGTGGCGGAAGTGTCTCTATAGTTATTTATATGTTGGTTATTTTGTGGTATATTGTTAAAGAGTGTTTCGCCACACATTCAACAAAGACGTTCACTATCAAGAGCACTCAGGCATTTTCTAATCATTTCATGACACACAACATTGCTTCTCTAAAGCAAACAACCTCTTCCATCCAGGTGTTGCCGCATTAGTTAGTTATGGGATTAAAATTCCTTGTTCACGTGGAATCCCACTTACGTGACAAAACCCTTAATAAAGTATTGATCTACAGTAGCATGTCATATTACTAGGAGATGAATATTTTCTAATTATGCTATATAATTGTATGTTATAAGCTTATTCGATAGATATCATCGTTTAACGTAATGTTGAAATGATTGATGAAAAGGCTAGTCGAATAATAATCTTTCACTTTCTGTACAGGAATGTAATGTAAATTACCACGAAAGCTAATTATTAGAAAATACATACGAAGAGTCTGAGAGCCAGCTTATCAGAATTATCCATCATGAAAGCAAGTAAAAAATTTAAACAAAGGGGGAACTTGCTTCCGATTGGCACTTTTACCAT